AGGAGTGCGATATCCAGGAGTGGCCCCGCCAGGTCCTGGTTTGCTTCACCCAGCAGGAAATAGTGTGGGGGGAGAGGGGAAGGTCCAGTCACTTGGCTGGGTCTGTAGTTTGGGCCACAAACAGCTGATCAAACAGCTCCCCAGAACCTGGAGAAGGGATTGTCTCTGGATCAGGGCCCCTCCCTCGCCCCAGGGAATCCTTCTCAAATGTGCCCCTCTCCCCGCCCAATCTCACTTGTCCCCGTGTTCGGGCTAGCACACAGCTCCTGCCTTTGATTGAAGAGGTGGGTGTAAGAATGGCCAGACTGGGTCTAGCCCAGTGTCCTGTCTGCCCACAGTGGCCAAATTGGGTTGCAAGGTGTCCGGTTTTTGCCCAGACAGTTTGATATTTTGGCCTTCTGTCTGGTAAAAAATTACCACACTCCTCGCTCCCCCCATCCTCGGTGTCTGGTTTTTGCCCAGACAGTTTGGCCTTCTGTCTGGTAAAAGATTACCACACTCCTCGCTCCCCCCACCCTCCAGATGCTGCCAGCCTTCCGTCTGAGGAAAACAGAAAATACCGGACATTTTACATGTCTGGTATTTTCTATTTTCCTCAGATGGAAGGCCGGCAGCATCTGCGAGGGTGGGGGGAGCGAGGACTGTGGTAATTTAAAGGCACAGTGACCTCTTTTTTGCTCAACCAATTTTTCCCAGCCTGTTCGGGATTTTCTGTGAAGGTATCTGGCAACTGTAACTGTAATAAAAGCGACCCACATGCTTCTCAGTTTATAACTCTGTGCGTTCTCTCTTCCCTTCAGCCATCTTTTTAGGCAGGGTCTTTGTCCAGAACTTCACTCTGTTCTCTTTCAGTTTCGTTGCTGCTTTCTGCACCAAGTTTATTATAAGGTATTGTTCATCCCGCTTATACACTGGCCAGTTCACCAAACCTTCACCATTAGGATTGCTTTAAAAAAAAAAAAGTGAAGAATTATCTTTCCATTTTTCTATCATTGCAATGAAATTTGCACAATGCAGTGTTGGTTCATTAATTGTCATGGATCAGATCCCTTGGGGAGGGAAAGGTAGGACACAGTGGTGGTTAATTCAAGCTTTGATCCAACCTCAATCTCTGGTTGTTTCTGCTAAAATGATCTGCCATTAGCAACAGATACAGATAAAAAAAATGTATGTCAACATTGTCATAAGGCTTGAATATTTCATTATATGAGTATTATAAGCTAAAGCCCTTGGTCCTATTTTTTCTGTTTATCTGCAGGTTGAGTAAGACAGTCCTGCAGTAGATCATACTTGGCATGTTTTCTTTGCAACCACAGGAATTTGAAACTAGTTTGTTTTGACATGAAATCTTAAACTCTGCAAAAAGATGGGGCCCACAAGAAAAGTGCTGACAGTGTTTTCAGCAGCAATGGCAAAATCTGACCCATGATTCATGTATTATAAGTCTCACCCACCCTTTTCGAGCAAAGTTAGCCCAGTATTGCATGACTGTTCTGCTGAGTTTACTCTCTTCTTCTGTAGCATCACCTGAGGCAAGATATAAAATGTCAGTACAAAGGTTATACTGATGTAGGTGCATTCAGAATTTATTCCACTTAAAAAGTATTGGTAGTTCACTGCTATAAGACAGGAAACAAAGATCATAACTCCTGTATTTTTACAGCAGTGAGCATGGTGGTAATAATAATAGAAGCAAAATACAGGACTATGTAGCACTTTAAAGACTAACAAGATGGTTTATTAGATGAGCTTTCGTTGGCCAGACCCACTTCCTCAGATCAGATCCTTTTTTTTGCGCAAAAACTTGCTGCCTGTCTACACTGGCTGCTTGAATTTGTGCAAGAGCACTGACGATCTAATGTAAGATTGTCAGTGTTCTTGTGCAAATACTATGATGCTCCCACTCAGGGATAAACCCTATTGCGCAAGAATACTCGCGCAAGAGGGCCAGTGTAGACAGGGAAGGAATTTTTTGTGTAAGAAAGCCCCAATGCGCAAAATGGCGATCAGGGCTTTCTTGCGCAAAATCGCGTCTAGATTGGCCACGGACACTTTTGCGCAAAATCTTTTTCGTTAAAAGCATTTGCGCAAAATCATGCCAGTCTAGACGTAGCCATACAGTGTTCATACCACTATTACATTTCAGTATTTGCAACATTATTAACCATCAGTTCCACTTGGGTCATAATAATGATGCTTTAATAAGAATTCGTTAGTAAGCACAGATACGTCACCAGCTAAGAAGGGCTTTCCAAAGACATAACCAATTTCGTCGCCATGATCTGCTTTTACAAAGTCTGGTCTAACACCTTTATATGAACTTGATTGATGATGAAACTCATAAACATAGACAGGGTTGCCAGAATCTAATAGAAAACAAAGTTAAGAAGAGTTCCAATTATAACAATTTCACATAGAACAATGCACTGAAATAAAGAGCTACTTTGGTAAGATGCTGGCAAAATGATAGCCATTTGGTTGGCCAGCTAAATGGATTATTAATAACTAAACTGGAACTGAGATGCAAACATACATTACCAAAGATTAATGTGAAATAGTCATCTGCAGCACAACAAGCACCCAGACAGTCACAAAGCTGGTGCCAGTCAAAAAAGTTCAGAACTTCAGATACATTATGCACTGGAAAACCCCATGTGAAGAATAGGAATCCTCTATATTTGTTTCCATTGGTTTTCACTTTGTCTTGCTCTTTGCAGAAGCATGTGCCTGTTCCTTTCCTTTCAGAACAAGAATAGAGCTCAACCCCCCTAAGTCTGTAACTCTGTAGTAGAAGAACTGGTTCCTTACAGGAACGCTAAATGGACAGCTCTCCTGGCTTTCATGATAACATGGACCCTGAAAGCACCATGAAAGACAAAGCCATAGTCACTTTTCTAAATAAAGTTTCAGGACAGCAGGAGATTGTGTCTGGAAAGCTATGGAGTTGATCCATGAGGGTATGTCTACACTACAGCACTAATTCGAACTAACTTAATTCGAATTAGTTAATTCGAACTAAGCTAATTCCAACTAGTGCATCTAGACCTAAAAACTAGTTTGAATTAGCGTTTTGCTAATTCGAACTAGCATGTCCACATTGAGTGGACCCTGAACCGAGGTTAAGGATGGCTGGAAGCAGTGCCGGCAGGGCATCAGAGTAGGACTTAGAGCGTGGAGATGCTGTCTCAGGCTAGCCGAGGGCTGTGTTTAAAGGGACCCGACCCCCACCCCGGACAGACAGTTCTCAGGGGTTCCCTGCTCGCTTGTCTAACTTGATGAGGGACAGCAAAGCAGTCCTGGCTTGGAGTGCCCTGAATGCCCACACTCGGCATATCACAGGACTCGGCCATCATCCCGGCTGCACTTGCCGCAGGCTGCCAT